GTGAGTGTAGGAATTTAGACAGAGTAGGATTTCCTCCCTCTTTAGGAAGCTGCTTTTCCCATTGGAGCAGGAAGGATACAGAAGGGGGACGGATGGATAGATGGACCAATGGAGCAACCCGAGAGGACCAGACCAGCCTACAATTGCACATTTCAAATTGTATAAGTAACTGGGTTTCAGGAGGGTAGGCGTTCCTTCTCGTCCTGAAGACGAATTGAACGGTTTTGCTGTTGAGGTTAGGGCTTCAGATAGAGATGGAACCCAGAGCTCTGTAAATTGCTTTATTCGATGGTCTGTTCAGTTATGATAATAAATGTTTGAAAGGTGATAGTTGACTCCGATTATTCTTCATGAAGAACACGCTGCACTTGTAACTCTACATTAAGGTCATTCAACATGTTGGTCATATCGGTTAAAAATGCTAAGTCTAGCAGCCACTGGTCGTCATTTAGTTAGTTGTATTCTGCATGTTTAGCTACACAGAAAAACTCCTTCATCTCCGGACAGAGCTCTCGAAATCTTTGCAGGAATTTTCCTCGACTAAGCCATCTCACGTCAGTGTGTAGCAACAACTCCGAGTGGTCTGCAGTCAGCCTTCTCCCGATGGAGCATTTTTGCGCATAACGCTTATTGGTGTATTATTCAGTGGTAATTGTCCTCCCTGCACTTGGCAATAAATCCATTTAGGCGGCCAACCAGCGCGGGCGCTCCGTCCGTGGTTGCCAGGGATAATGTTGCAGTTTTATAATTGTTTTAATAGTGTTATAATTAAGTTATACAAAGGTATGATAGACAGTTTTGTGGGCAGTAAAAGTGCTTCAGTGACCTATGTATTTGTCAATCATCTGGTATAGAAATAATAATTGGCCCACAATGTTCACAAACAAGTCCTTCTCTTTGTCTGTGGCTGCATTTTATAAAACACACTGTCTGACAAGTGTCCTGCTACCAGGGGTGTGCAGTATACTGATAGGAAGAGGGAATCATCCATGTGAAGGAGCCTTTACTCTGTCTACTTGAAGCACAAAATGTATCATTCAAATGATTTTGGCAAAACCAGGCCTCATTTGTCAATGGTCACATGACAGTTAGGGAAACAATACAAGCTTCAAAGTGAGGCTTCATTTGGGAATGTCCCCTCTGCTCAACACAAACATCAAAGCTTAGATGTCACATGTAACATCACTATTCATTATTATATTTTATAATAGTATACTGATGACTGGATGACACATAGACCTAAATGCTAGTACTCAGTCTTGTTTTTGATTTTTTTAAAACTTTTATTATTTAAATATTACTCCATTTCTTTTTTACATATAGGTTTTGCATATATGCAAAATACAAAAATGTGTGGAATTTACATTTCTTCTCTTTCTATCAACCTACCACCAAAAGGACAGCCCAGTTACCATTTCATGCTGCATTCATCATTCTCCCATCAGATTTTTGTTTCAATTACATGTAATTTGACAGTATTGCATCAGTACTTTGAGATACTTACATCATCATCACGTGAATGTATTATTGTTATATTTATCAATATAAAAAATAGTTATATCTTGGAGCAATAAAACCCATTCTGATCTTTTGAGAAAGATTTTACAGAGTTTCTAATGTTAACAGACACTTGGCATGAAATTGTCTAAGTGTGATCACTTAGCGAGGGTTATGTCTAACACTGTCACAACATGACTAATAGTTGTTTTCCATCCTGTCCTATTTTTTTATTGTTCTCTCAACACTCCCTGGTTATAAGTAGATCATAACAAATATAGTGAGTGAGCAGTTGCTTGAAACATACACGATGCTTTGCTTAGAATTGAAGAGGAGGGTGAACTGTGAAGCAGAGGTCGGGACTTCTGGAGAGACTCATGCGACCACTGAGGCTACATTAGCAATAAATTCTGCCACATTGTAGGTGTGTCTGCTTATTTTACCACAGTGTCTGGTTTTCTATTTCTGCACGTGTTAATACAAGATGATGGGGTGTGGAGGATTTGGAGTTGTTTAAAGGCAGCTGATGTAGCTGGGGTGAGTAACAAAAGTAAAGCAGCGACTAATTTAATGCATCCCTTTTGCTGATCAGTAAATAGAAAAGTAATATAATGATTTTTTAAATCTGTAATGAGTACTATATTGCTGTTTTCAACTAATTTGCCCTACACTGCCCAATAAACACGATTCTAGCCACCTTTTTGAGGGCATATGTAGGACAACAGGACATCAATCATATTTGTAACAACAGGAGGCAGTGGATGGACTTCGTGTGGCACGTGATGAGCCAGGCTCATCTCCCAGGCATCCACCAGATGAACATTCAGTCCTTTGAACATGGCTTTGAGAACCTTGTCAAAATGTAGCGCATACCAGTCGCTGTGAAGCAGCGCCACATCAAGGCTTAAAGCTCTCAGGTTTGCAGTCCGGATGATGACCAATGTGCCTGGAGCCCTGTCCAACAGCCGCACAACAGCCCTGCGGATGTCCTGTATCCGCCGGATGTACATCTGAATGGGAAAAGGGCAAAAATGTGCCCAGACGGAAACAACGACAACAGTGTTGGTGCCTCCAGTTAGTCCATCTAGTTCATTGGCAACGTAATGCATCTGGGCGACTGGAATTATGGTAACGGAGATGATAGGAGGACCATGGCCGCGGAAGGTCATCATGATGTCGTTTGCTAGATCCAAGGCCATTAAAGGTCCAAATTTGTTGTTTCTGTACAGGTTAAATTCCTTGAGATCTAAACACATAACAGAGGTAACAGATTAAGCAACAGTGTCAATAAAATCGAACGCTGCCAGAAAACACTGAATCATCTACCTGGTAGTGTATTGGTAAAATACCAAAACCACTGCCTGCTGGTGGAGTCTCCAAACAGGTGGACCATCTTGCCTTTCAGACACTGATTGATGGCAGAGGAGGTGTTGAACTGGTGAACTGTGGTGCCTCCTAGTGCTCGCCACACACCCTGGTAGTAATAGCCGGAGGGTCTAAACATCCCACGATTGTTATTTATCTCTGGTTCACCTGAGAGGAAGTTCACCAATTAATAACAGATGTAAATAATGATTGTTAAAATCAAATCAAAATTATTTATATAGCACTTTGAAAAAAAACATCCAGTTGACCAAAGTACTTTACATGGCAGAATAAAATCACCATAAATGACTAAAATAGAGCAAATAAGATCAGTGCAAATAAAAATCAAACTGTACAATAACACACACACAGTTAACATATGTTCAATAAATTAAAATTAAAAGGAATGCATCAGGCCCTACTGTGTATTAAAAGCCAAGCCAAATACATATATTTTAAGCAATGATTTAAAAGTACCAAGGTCAGTAGCTGACCTAACATTAAAAGGTAGACTATTCCACAATTTAGGAGCTGCAGCAGTAAAAGCACGGTCACCCCAGCGTTTATATCTGGCCCTTGGAACCTCTAAAAGAAACTGGCTTGAAGATCT